TTCCCCCCGTCTCGTTGGGTTGGGGGGGGGGGGGGGGCGCAGCTAGTGCACCCCCCCAGCAGACCAGGGATTTCTCGCCAATGCCTGGGGTAGAGCAGCTGGGGTGCCGCCAGGTTGGTCCCCGCAGCACCGAGGTGCGGCGCTGTAGGGACCTACCCAGCAGCGCCCCAGCTGCTCTGTCCCAGGCGTCCATATTCAGGTGCTGTTGAAACTGATCAGCGGCTGATTGCAGAAAGCCCGGGGCAGAGCAGCTTTGCCTAGGGCTTCCTGTAGTCAGCCACTGGTCAGTTTCAACAGTGGCTGAATCTGGACACCAGTTCCGAATTGCATACAAATTCAACTTAAGAACAAACCTACAGTCCCTATCTTGTACGTAACCCGGGGACTGCCTGTATAAGAAATCAGTGCTTCTTGCAGAAATACTATTTTGCTCCCGTTCAGGCAAAAGTCCCTTTTGTGCAAAGCTTTTGCACAAAAGGGCCGGTGTAGACAGCTCAGATTTGTTTTCCACAAAAAAGCCCTGATCGCGAAAATGGCGATCGGAGCTTTTTTGCGCAAAAGAGCATCTGGATTGGCACGGACGCTTTTCCACAAAATGTGCTTTTACAGAAAAGCATCCATGCCAATCTAGACACTCCGTTCTGAAAATGCTTTTAATAGAAAACGTTTCCGTTAAAAGCATTTCCGGAAAATCATGCCAATCTAGACGCAGCCAATATGTATTACTTCTAATGATACAAAACCTGAATTTCTGTCACTTACCTTTCTGTGTTCAATCGACTCCTGCGGGATGACCAGCTGAATTCCTAATACCACTATGGAACTGAGAAGTCTGCAAGAAAATAAATAATACACTGAACATGTATTTATTGTGAATAATCACTGAGCCATGCTACTTACCCCAGCTTGTGCTACACAAGCTTAGGCACTTAAATAACTTTACTGACATGAGTATTCTCACATGCAACAACACTCCTTGGACCGTTAAACATGAGTTTCTGCAGCATTCATGATTGGGCATTCACACATGCATGCCCTTATTAAAAGCAAAAAAATAAATAAAACTTGCTAGCATAGTAATAAAAGAGGGTAGTACTGGGTAAGCCCCACAAACACACACACACACACACACAGATACACACACACTTTACTACTACAAACCATATCCCATGTTATGCTTGAAGGAAGATGACAGTTAACATTTCCAGAAGTGTTCCATTAAGTCTGTGCACTGCCATTTTTGGTTGCCCAACAGATATATTTTCCCTGATTTTCAAAAGTGTGAAGGAAAATTTGACTGTAAACATGCAGAATCAAATCTCAGCTCCTATTTCTCTCCCCCTCCTCCCATTTGGTTGTGTAAAATAGCATTGAGGAAGCACTGAACATGCACAGAACTTCTATGACTGCAAGAGAGCAGGTTCCTCTGCAGTCAGCTGTGGAGATTAACTAGACTTCATAGCACAAGAGTGCAGAGCAGCAAAACACAGCTCATCGATCACAGTCTCTAGAGCAGGGTTTCCCAACCTACGGGTCTCCAATACATTTCAAAAGGGTCGCCAAGTGTCTCCCCAGATGGCTCTGTCCCCCCTTCCTCCCCCTGTTTTTGAATTGCCTTGGGTCACCAAATCTTCCTGAATTGTCAAAATGGTCCCATCTGGAAAATGTTGGGAACCACTGCTCTAGAGTCTCTCACCATGCCCAGGTGCCCAATACATGGTTCAATGTTTGAGCCACATTCCCCCTGCCACTCTCCTTCAATGGCATGTCAACAAAGAGACAGAGTACCAGGATTTGCAGTTGGCATCTGGGCAACCTCTGCTCCTCTCTGGCCTTTCTTCCACCACCAAATAAGTGCTGACCCACCATCAATAAGGGGCTTCTGTCACATCTATATGGGTCCAAATCCACCTCAGTGCGGGGCCACATTTTTAGCCCTGCTACCAGCTATTTTGTGCCATTCAAAAGGCTGCAATAAAGAGGTTGCTGGTCAGAGGTACGCCTGTTTTACCTCATACGTTTCTGTGATGGGGCTCGGTGCAGGGGTGCAATGCAAGCAACTGAGAAGGTAGGTCACTGCCTGCCTGGTAAACCTGGGTGCTTCACAATACTTTGCTGCTCTAGCTCCCAACCTAGGCCACACGCAACCAGGCTACAAGCACGAGGGTCACTCCCTAACTGTGTATAGATGCAGCCCTGGTCCAGCAGACTCTAGCCCCAACGGCCTTGGTTACAGCCAGCAAGATGACCCCAGCAAACTCGCAGTCCCAAGTTTTCCAGACACAGTGTGCTCTGTAATGTCCAGCTTGCTCCTGAGCAGCTCAGAGAAATAAGATCCATTTGTTCCTCTAAAAGGTACAAAACCTACCAGCTTGCAACACTGAATTAAAGTGAATGTTAACTCATTAAATCCAGCACTGGTAATTTAAATTAATGATAAAACAAATGTGTTAACAAAAGATTAAAGGATTTTAAGGGAATTCAAGTATAAAAGAAGAGTGAAATTTGTTATTAAGCAGCACCAGCGGATCCAGCTGAAGTTAGAGCTTCATAGCAGTAGGCTCTGCATATGACAGTGGTTTTCACACTTGTTTTTTCTCATGACCCAGTCGAAGAAAATTATTGATGCCCACAACCCAACATAATTTAAATAGAGTGTGGGTTCTGGGGCAGGGCTGAGGAGGAGAGCTTTGAGTGTAGGAGCAGGCTCCAGCTCCGGGTGGGGCTCAGGCCTAGGGCTTACCTTGACTGGCTCCTGGTCAGCGGTGCAGCAGGGTTGCTAAGGCAGCTTCCTGCCTATCCTGGCACCACAAACCATGCTGTGCCCCAGAAGCAGCCAGCAGCAGGTTCCAGCCAATAAGAGTGCAGAGCTAGTGCTCAGGGCAGGGGCAGTCCATGGAGCCCTGTGCACCCCACCCCCAGACACACCTAGGAACTGAACTTGTTGCCAGCCACTTGTGGGACACAGTGCAGTTTGCGGTGCCAAGACAGGCAGGTAGCCTGCCTTAGCATCCCCACTGGTTACCTGATCACCTTGCAGCAATGAGACCCAGGGCCTGACATTCAGTGACCCAGTACTGGGTCACAACCTGTAGTTTGAAAACCACTGGCATATGCAGTAAGCGACAGCTCCCAACCTGAACAGCATGCAAACCAAGGACAAAGGGGCTGGGGAAGGGGCAAACAGAGGCATAAAGAGGCAGGAGTAATTTGCCCAAGGTTACATAAATAAAAAGTAGAACTTGGAGATAGATGTCAAAGATCTTCCAGCTCCCATCCTATGCAGTCCTGTGTCCTAACCACAGAACGGACTGCCTCCAAGTGTATCTTGCAATTCGGGAATCACATATGCTTTTCTCTGTGGCCATGTTATTTCTTTCATAGTGCCCCATTTCAATGCATTTTTAATGGAAATATGAAAACTCCTTGCTAGTAAACAAATCACAGATTCCCCTTTCCCCAGCAGCTTCACATTATATGATTCCATAACAGTTCTGGAACATCTGATTTGCTCCAGTTGAATACCAACTTTACTTCTTTTCCAAAGGTCTTCACCTTCTGTCTGGCTTCCACTCCCCGTCTTCCCTCAGAGGGTGCAATAGGAAGTTCAGCATTTGCATAGGGAAACAAACTTTCCGGAACAGCAAGAAGCCAGACTCTGTCAATGGGCAGCACGTTTCTATGAATCAATTTTAATAAAACCCTGCATGAGGGTGGCAGTTCTGAAGTGAGTGAGGCCTGTAATCTTCAAAGCAAAATTACTTAGCAGATTAAAAGTTCCCACTTTAAAACTAAACTCCTTAGCATGTGTGTGATAACTCTGTGCCAAGCTTTGCCTGACCCTTCTCTAAAAAGGCTGCATTGTAACCCCCATGTGTGAGCACATGTGCACAGGGACAACGAGTGTAGTTTATAGTTTGTCTCTGTGTATGTGCTTGGGTCTGCCAGAACCATTTGTTATCAACCTACTGTTTTAAGCACATAGGAAATCTGGCAGGAATACTTAAGCCTTCCTGAGGAAAGCCTCTGGACTGACTGAGGCTTGTGATTTTAATAAAAAAAAAATCATGTTATTTCACTTTAAGGGTTGACTTTGGCTGCTTCTCTGGAGTTGGCAATTTTATTTATTGTGCTTGACTAGTGCTAGGTTCTCTAAACCAGCAGTTCTCAGCTGGGGTTTGCAGCCCCCTGGGAGTCTGTGAGGGTATGTCTACACTACAAAGTTAATTCGAACTAAAAGACGTTAGTTCGAATTAACTTTCATAGGCGCTACACTAGCGCTCCGCTAGTTCGAACTTAATTCGAACTAACAGAGCGCTTAATTCGAACTAGGAAAACCTCATTTCACGAGGACTAAGCCTAGTTCAAACTTACTAGTTCGAATTAAGGGGTGTGTAGCTCCTTAATTCGAACTAGTGGGAGGCTAGCTTTCCCTGGTGGCCACTCTGGCCAACACCAGGGAAACTCTATTGCCCCCCTCCCGGCCCCGGACCCCTTAAAGGAGCACAGGCTGGCTACGGTGCCCGTGCCAGGTGCAAGCCTGCCAGCACCCAGCCAGCAGACCCCGCACCTGGCACGGATCGAGCCACCCACCTGATGCCCCCCAGCCCTCCCCCTCTTCCCGGGACCAGGCTGGTGGCTCCCAGGAGTTTGCCCGGGACCGCAAGAGGCAGAAACCCGCCTGGGCTAGTGCGGACATCGTGGACCTCGTCCACGATCTCCGCACTAGGCACAGGAAAGGGGCTGGGCTTGGGGG